TTTTTTTTTTTTTGCAAAGACTAATGACATTCTGCTAATCGTTTCTACTAGTGTTAGCATAAATAAATGAACATACAGCAGATCATTTTTCGCATTCTATATTTCGACGTTTAGACAAAACACCGATTCTCATAATACGCAAAAACTTGTGATGATCATTTATGTGGCCACTTGTCTCAATGTGCAAATCAAGCTGAACAGGGCAACTCCCAGCAAATGTTGTTTTCTCAAAAGATGTAGAAAACTTTGCCTTCTATTTAAACCATATGAAAGATATCAAGATGTCTTACTCAATGAACACAAGTAGTTATGCTCAAAGAAGAAACTGTGTCTGCTAAATTGCTGGGGCGATTTAAACACAAGTTGCCAATATTACGTGTAGAGGCAGTTTTTTTTTTTTTTTATGGCTGGCCTGCATTGAATTTCGGGAGATTAATAATTGTTTTCTGGTCATGATGCCTTCCTCGTGACAGAAAGTGCCTAATTAACTAAACTACAACTTAAAATCGATGCAAGGAACACAGATAAGTAGACAAATGTAGAGGTCTAGAAAAGCTCCAGCATCTCATATTTTCTGGGTTTCAACAAATACTTTATAATATCAGCATCGATATTACTTAATGTTCAAGACCTCTTCCCAAGAGTTCTCATGGTTCTCCTGGGTGAATGGACTGAGATAACTAAATACAACATTTATACAGTGACAAAGCAACTAAAAATGTAACTATTCTTGAAAATAAGTTTCTTTTTCCATACGTTAAATCAGTTTTTGAACTTTTCCACAATCCGCCACAGTCTTTAGGAATACAACAGTAATGTGTATCACAGCCCTTCTGTCTAATGGAAATTTGAAAAGTGAATTAAAATCTAATTATTGTCTAAAGTTTTTTTTTTTTGACTATTAAAATATTGAAGCTTTCAACAAAGTTGTGTACTGAAAACATAACGGGAAAAATAATAAAAAATAGTTATTAAAGATATCAATTACGTTTGTCCAACCTCCCAGGTGTCAGCAGGATCTTTTCTTGGCATGTTTAGGTTTTTAATTATTTCTACTGGGAAAGCAGAACAACAAACAAACTTCAATAAGCTTGAACTTTTTAGTGAACCTGTTCTAAACAGGAAAGTATGATTCTATTCTGTAATTCTAGGGGGAAAAAAAGTGTTTATCCCCTAACGTGACAGACGAGTTAACATTTAAAACAATTTATATTTCACTCATTTAGTCCTACCAATTTACAGCGTGGCTGTTATGGAAAAGTTCATTTCCTTCCTTCTTCCTCCTCAGACAGTGAAGACTTTCTGTTCAGAGCAGCCAGAGAGAGCAGGCTTTGTGTGCTGCGCCGTGTCGCCCCACGGGGAGTGGATCTACTGTGTGGGGGAGGACAGCGTGCTGTACTGTTTTAACTACACGACGGGGAGGCTGGAGAAAACGCTGACTGTAAGCCCCTCTGCTCATACCCAACAATTATCTTTGAGAAAAACTGTTAGTGGGCCTCGACTCCCTATTTTGCTGCCTCATTGTCGTGGTAGCATCTTTCAGCAAGTGCAGTTAGGGAAGCTGGATGTCTGTAGGAGGTTGGAGGGGTGGGGATGAGAATGTGTATTGATCTGCATTCCTCTGCACCCACAGGTTCACGACAAGGATGTAATTGGCATCGCTCACCACCCACATGAGAACCTGATTGCCACATACAGCGAGGATGGCCTGTTAAGGCTGTGGAAACCTTAAGCTGTCACCTTCATCCTGCTGTGGAGGAGCTAGGCAGTTGTTTGCACAGTTCAAAAGCATCCAGATCAACTCAAAGGGATAGTTCAGAATTTTTTTTTTTATGTTTTTTTATGCTATGTGAATTTCTTTAAAAATTCTACACCAATATCTAATCTGCAGTTCAACATCTTCATACAGTATGCATAATTTATTGTAAGTCTAGATTCATCCCAAAGGATGAAGCTAGCGGTAATTAAGAGTGAAACCAAAGTGGACTTTGTCCTTCTTCAAAATGTATTGTGTTTACAGGATGCTCACTTGACCTTCAAAATCAGAAGATGGAAAAAAGAATTAGAAAAGCAACACTTGAGTACAAACAGAAGATCTCTCTTTAACATAAACTGTAGGTGTGTCTGGTGCACATTTAGTTAAACTCTTTCTTCATTTAGTGAAGTTACTCATAGTGGGTAGTGTAGCCAGAAATGTTACTCAAGTAAGTGTAGTGATGCTTCATGATAATATTACTCAAGTAAAATTATTCCAGTAGCAGTTCCCNTTTTTTTTTTTTTGCAAAGACTAATGACATTCTGCTAATCGTTTCTACTAGTGTTAGCATAAATAAATGAACATACAGCAGATCATTTTTCGCATTCTATATTTCGACGTTTAGACAAAACACCGATTCTCATAATACGCAAAAACTTGTGATGATCATTTATGTGGCCACTTGTCTCAATGTGCAAATCAAGCTGAACAGGGCAACTCCCAGCAAATGTTGTTTTCTCAAAAGATGTAGAAAACTTTGCCTTCTATTTAAACCATATGAAAGATATCAAGATGTCTTACTCAATGAACACAAGTAGTTATGCTCAAAGAAGAAACTGTGTCTGCTAAATTGCTGGGGCGATTTAAACACAAGTTGCCAATATTACGTGTAGAGGCAGTTTTTTTTTTTTTTTATGGCTGGCCTGCATTGAATTTCGGGAGATTAATAATTGTTTTCTGGTCATGATGCCTTCCTCGTGACAGAAAGTGCCTAATTAACTAAACTACAACTTAAAATCGATGCAAGGAACACAGATAAGTAGACAAATGTAGAGGTCTAGAAAAGCTCCAGCATCTCATATTTTCTGGGTTTCAACAAATACTTTATAATATCAGCATCGATATTACTTAATGTTCAAGACCTCTTCCCAAGAGTTCTCATGGTTCTCCTGGGTGAATGGACTGAGATAACTAAATACAACATTTATACAGTGACAAAGCAACTAAAAATGTAACTATTCTTGAAAATAAGTTTCTTTTTCCATACGTTAAATCAGTTTTTGAACTTTTCCACAATCCGCCACAGTCTTTAGGAATACAACAGTAATGTGTATCACAGCCCTTCTGTCTAATGGAAATTTGAAAAGTGAATTAAAATCTAATTATTGTCTAAAGTTTTTTTTTTTTTGACTATTAAAATATTGAAGCTTTCAACAAAGTTGTGTACTGAAAACATAACGGGAAAAATAATAAAAAATAGTTATTAAAGATATCAATTACGTTTGTCCAACCTCCCAGGTGTCAGCAGGATCTTTTCTTGGCATGTTTAGGTTTTTAATTATTTCTACTGGGAAAGCAGAACAACAAACAAACTTCAATAAGCTTGAACTTTTTAGTGAACCTGTTCTAAACAGGAAAGTATGATTCTATTCTGTAATTCTAGGGGGAAAAAAAGTGTTTATCCCCTAACGTGACAGACGAGTTAACATTTAAAACAATTTATATTTCACTCATTTAGTCCTACCAATTTACAGCGTGGCTGTTATGGAAAAGTTCATTTCCTTCCTTCTTCCTCCTCAGACAGTGAAGACTTTCTGTTCAGAGCAGCCAGAGAGAGCAGGCTTTGTGTGCTGCGCCGTGTCGCCCCACGGGGAGTGGATCTACTGTGTGGGGGAGGACAGCGTGCTGTACTGTTTTAACTACACGACGGGGAGGCTGGAGAAAACGCTGACTGTAAGCCCCTCTGCTCATACCCAACAATTATCTTTGAGAAAAACTGTTAGTGGGCCTCGACTCCCTATTTTGCTGCCTCATTGTCGTGGTAGCATCTTTCAGCAAGTGCAGTTAGGGAAGCTGGATGTCTGTAGGAGGTTGGAGGGGTGGGGATGAGAATGTGTATTGATCTGCATTCCTCTGCACCCACAGGTTCACGACAAGGATGTAATTGGCATCGCTCACCACCCACATGAGAACCTGATTGCCACATACAGCGAGGATGGCCTGTTAAGGCTGTGGAAACCTTAAGCTGTCACCTTCATCCTGCTGTGGAGGAGCTAGGCAGTTGTTTGCACAGTTCAAAAGCATCCAGATCAACTCAAAGGGATAGTTCAGAATTTTTTTTTTTATGTTTTTTTATGCTATGTGAATTTCTTTAAAAATTCTACACCAATATCTAATCTGCAGTTCAACATCTTCATACAGTATGCATAATTTATTGTAAGTCTAGATTCATCCCAAAGGATGAAGCTAGCGGTAATTAAGAGTGAAACCAAAGTGGACTTTGTCCTTCTTCAAAATGTATTGTGTTTACAGGATGCTCACTTGACCTTCAAAATCAGAAGATGGAAAAAAGAATTAGAAAAGCAACACTTGAGTACAAACAGAAGATCTCTCTTTAACATAAACTGTAGGTGTGTCTGGTGCACATTTAGTTAAACTCTTTCTTCATTTAGTGAAGTTACTCATAGTGGGTAGTGTAGCCAGAAATGTTACTCAAGTAAGTGTAGTGATGCTTCATGATAATATTACTCAAGTAAAATTATTCCAGTAGCAGTTCCC